ATTGAAATTGTTCAAGTAAATTTAAAACATGTTGAACATGTGATGACTTGATTCTAGAGATCGAGCTGGGCCTGGACCAAGGCCCGGGTTTTTCCCGTACCCAGAGTCCATACCCACTCATTTTTTGACCTTACTGGGGTTTTTCATGGGCGTGGGGTTCTCCTGGACTATAGGCCAAGGATCCGGCCCAGGACAATAAATCAAACCAAGAACCCCTTTAACAGACCCAGGCTTTTCAAAAATCTTTATCTCTACTTGATTCTTTGTTAAGAATTTCGGAATAAAATTTTAAATAAAATTTAGAAAATTAATCTCAAATCTATCCAAAAATCACTAAAAATTTAATAATTCCTTTCAAGGAATGTGGACAACTTTTATTTTCTTTTTTAAATGAAAACTTCAATCGACTTGAGGATTTGATTTTAGCTTTTTCCAGTGGACGGGATACTTGTTTTATACAAACAAAAGAAGGAGATCAATTTCAATTAATTAGGCCAATTAAAAGGAGAAAATGTAAAAAAATAAATTTAAATTATTTTTAAATATTTTTTTAGTTGCTGGACGTTTTGGATATGGAGAGTGTTTAAATATTCGAGATGCTGTCAAACCTAATAAAATTGAGACTGGTTTTGTGAGAATATTACGGCATGACTTTTCGAGTAGTAAACAAGTTGAGGAGGATTTGGAGAAATTAATTGAAATTAAACATAGGTGGGTAGAGTAGGGGTTTTTTGAAAATACTGTTAACAAGGGAACATTTCAAACTGAGACCAAAAATTTTCAAATAAAAATTATACCATCGTTTAGAGTGTGGTCGAAAACCTATTGTAATTTTCTGCTTTTCTTCCCCTGTCCCACATTTCGAAAAGTTATAGGGGTTCAGTTTCCGAGAATTTAAAAAAATTTAAATGTTGGTATCTTTCCAACTCCAAATATGAACGCTAATTTTGGAACATTTTTAAATTTATTCTGTTCATTTTACTTAAAATATTATTTTTTAAATAAATTTTATTTCAGAAACTTGGTTCGTGTTCTCGACTTTTTTATTTTACATTCGTGTACGTATAATGGTTCTCCGTTAATTTTTGTTAGATTTGACCAAATTGTTAAAGCAACCTCTCTTTTTGATCGTTTATTTGATTTACAAAATGTTTTGCCTTCCCGTCAATATATTAAATGGGGATATCAAGTAGTTAATTATTTTTTGTTTAATTTTGTAGAGGGAACTTTCATTAATTTTTTCTCTGACCTATCCCATCACTATGAAAAAAACTACTCGAAAAACTGAATAAAATAGAAAAAAAAAACAAAATTCGGTGAAAGCGGAAGTAGCAATATCCCTAACTCCGTTACATATAAACCTTTACTTAACTCCTATTAAAAACGGCACCAGTAGAGCCAAAAAAAGATGGAATTAGGCGAACGTTAAGGAAATAACATGTCTAGTCTTTCTATAAACTTTTACTCAATCCTCCTTAAAAAAACTACTCGAAAAACTGAATAACCCACTTATTTCCAGATATTTATTTTTTTATTTTTAAAGGCAGCCAAAGGATTAAATTTTTTAATGGATAGAGGGATTTTACATAAACGTTTAACTGCTCGTTCTTGTTTGTTAGACAATATGGAGAATTTACGTCTTTCTGATTTTTGGACAGAAAATGATCCTGGAGATTTAAATCTTTTTCAAAGAAATTTACCAAATTCTATTAGTCAAAGGACTATTATGTTTAGTGATGGATGGCGGTAAAAACAAAAAACAATTTTTGAATACAAAAATTGTTTTTTAAAGTTATTTACCAGCAGAGACTTTAATTAATAACCAATTTGATTGTACTTCTCAAGTTTGGACTTTTGGACTATTAATATGGCAAATATATACTCATCACCAATTTGGAAATAGAATTATGTAAATTTTGGAATTGTGTAGAAAATTTTTTGATTTTAGACTTGGATAGCTTTATTTGATAATAGAGAGTTGAAAGGCTTGAAAGGGAAATTCTTCTCTCTTTTCCTTTTTTCCCAAAAACCTACTAAAATTTTAATTAGATAATTGTTAACAAGGAAACATTTCGAACTTCAGGAAAAAATTTTTCAATCAACCGCTCCAAAAGACGAAAACTTTGAAGCCCTATAACTTTCTGATTTGGGGGGTAGAGCCGGAAAAGAAAAAAATTGGCAATGGGAAATTGACCCTGCTCTACACGATGGTGTAAATTAAATTGAAAAATTTCTCCTGACAGTTCGATATGGTTCCTTGTAAGAAATACCTTTCTAAACAATAAACCTCCCTCTATTCCCTCTCTCCACATTCTAATAAAATATTAATTTAATAAATAAATTAAAATTCTATATTTTCTAGTTATTCAAGTATGGAAGAATTTCTATCTTTAACAGCTGGAAGGGATGACCCTTATTTTATGCCTGGACATTTAAACAAAAAAGAATCACAACAAGGAATGCCTGAACAGTTAATAATTTTAATTAAATTTGATTAAAATTTAAATTTTAGACGTAGACGTAAAGCTGTTTTTCTTAAAGCTTCAGAACAACTTCCACATCCACCCGAATCTCTCGCGTATATTCAAATTTTATTAAAATAATTTATTTTCTAGTAAAATCATTCCTTCTGCTCTTCTACCTGATCGTTCTGAACGACCTTATTTTTCCGAAATTTTTCGTATTTTGGAATGTGAAAAGAGAATTCTTGATTTAGCTCATGTGATTGGACGTTTCTTTTAATTATTTGATTTTAATTTAGATTTTTGTAAAATCTTTATAGACTTACTAATTTTGTTTTCAATCTTTGATTTTGTGATTTTAATTAGCTAGACTTGTTAAAATAAAATTAATTGCTTTTTAAATTTGTATTTTTATAAAACAACATACCGTAAATTCTCTAATAGAGGCACACTCTCCACACCCTCCAATAGAAGCACACCCTCTAATATAAGCAACCCTACGGGAGGATCGAAAAATACAAGCACATGTGCTTCTATTAGAGAATTAACAGTATGTAGGTAAAAATCTCTCGCATATACTATTCAGATTTGCCAAAATTAGTGAGAAGAAAGGAATTCACTGAGGTTGGACACAGCTGGTTAATAACACATACCCCGGATTTTCGGTTCCACTTAATTGGCTAAAACACCTGGTTAACTGTTCCGGTTCGGTTAACCGTCCAACCCTAATATTCACTTCATAAATATGAATGTATTATTTATCTTCATCAAAGATTTATTAAATTTTTACAAGCTTAAATTGAATATTTTTTTGCCAAAATTAGTTAGGAAAAAGGAAATAACAAATGCCGTCTTTTTATTTTTTGTTCACGCGTTTTTTGATGAATGTTGTTAGTATATATGTATTGACATAAACTTATTCCTACACTTCAACATTATGAATAAAATAAGCTTTAATATAAAAAATAAAAGTCAACAATTTTGTCCAACCCTTAAAATTGCCTACATTTAAAAGAAAAAAAGTCCTTTAAAAATTTTTTTATTTAAAAAAGTCTGCGGGGGTAAATGAAAGTCGATTTTCCTCTATTAATATTTGCCAAAAAAATAAACTTTTAAACTTTAATGTCCATCAATTATTTTAAAATAAAATAATTATTGGCAGAAAAGCACAAATTTACATAAATATCTATAAAATATTTTTAACATAAATTTTATAAAATGGATATGAAAAAAAATTTTAATTTTTTAATTTAATTGTGCTCATTACAAATTTAATGCAAATAAACAATTATGGACTTCTATTCGAAATTGTAAAGCATATAGCTATTAATTTCCTAAGGGTGTGCAGTAGGCGGCGTGTTGTAATGGCTAACACATCAGTCCGGTTTACTGCAGATGCCGCCGAATAACCTTTTGCACTAGCTGATGGAGAAAAATAGCTATAGCCCAGTTGCTTTACTAAATTTGTTAAGTCGAAAGTTAAGATACAACTTTAAAATCATGTTAGTTTATGAGCTACTTTATAATACATATAAGCTTAAGATAAATTATAACTAATTTTTTCTTAAAATTTCTAGAATTATTTTAAATAATATTAATTACAAATTCAAAAAACTTTTTAAAATAAATATCAATAATTTAAGAGAATGTAAAATTTAAATAACTATAAATTCTTATATTTTAAAAATGCCTATTAAACCTTCATTATTTATTTTAAACTATTTATTTTTAATAATTTCCAAAATTACTTCATTAGAAGAACAACAATATTCTAATTGTAACAACAAAAATGAAAAATTAGCTACTCAATGTTTAGAGCCAATGTTGGCCTTTGCAAATGTTGTTCAAGAAAGGCAAAATTTAGAGCAAAACGAGGAAGGAAAACATCAAAGACATTTTTCATTACCTGAAGGGCCACAAGTTTTTAGACAATTGTGTTCACTTTATGCAGATTTTAAGGCTTGTAATAATTAAATTTTTTAATTAAAATTTAATTTTTGTTTAGGAATGCACCTCAACATTGGAATGTGAAAGTTTGTCAGTGAGGGCAGTAGAAGCTAGTTATGGGTAATTATTAAGCAGGCTCACCTCATTTTAGGATACCTCCCTGTGGACGAGAAAATCATACCTTATAATGAAGGGCATTAAAGGCATAAATTAATAGTAACGTTTATGTAGTATCCTCTACTAAGTGGCTAACTAAATTTAAATAAAAAACGTCTTAACTCAAGAGGTACCTAAATTTTAGGGATATCTAAAAATGAGGTTCGAAAATTAAATAATTCTTGGTCTGTTTGTTTACATAAAGATACAACTTTTAAAGACCATTCTTCCTATTAATGACTTGAATCCTGTTAAAACCCAATAAAAATAAACATTTAATTTGAAACTAAATTTTTTAAATTCTTAATTTGGCTCTCCTCCCTCCATAACAATTCACATTTTTATAAAATAAAAATTCTAGAACTTATTGGACGAAAAAACAATTTAAAAATAATATTTTAGTTATATGTGTGGTATAGGAAATCAACAATTTAAAGAACATGCAGATTGCTTTTCTCGGGTTGAAAACAGAGCAGATTATATTCATTGTCGGTCTGTTGCTGGACAAGAAATGGATAAAGCAACAAATAAAAAATATAAAAATAATGAAGAAAAATTTAACGATAAAAACCAACAAAGCCAACTTTGTTTTACAATGAATAATTATTTGGATTGTTGTAGACCTTTAGTTGAAAGAAGTTGTGGGTCTAAAGCTTGGGAACTTGTTGCAAAAGTGAGTAAAAAAATTTGAAATTGTTTAAAGCTTGAATGAATTTTTTAGATAACAAGAGATAGTCTTCGCGTTAGTTTGCCTGATTGTGTTTTGACATCACTTGAGAAGAATGGAGAAATTTGATATTGCGAATTTTAAAACTAATTTAAAAAAATATTTGTTTTCAGATAATATTTTTAAAAATAAAACGAAAGCTATTTTATCTTTAAAAAAATTTTTTTAATTCTAGAATTCTAGACTCAGAATATTCGAATTAATCAAACAATTAGAACGGAGATTTTGTGTGTATTTTTGAGAGGGCTTCTACCTTGGGTGATTTTGTGTTGGATATGGGTTGTAATAAACCCGAGCTTTTACGGGAATTAAAAATAATTAAATTTGTAAAAAGTATTTATTAAAAATTAATTTTGAAAATTAAAAACCACATACAAATCACGGGACACTCCTAAGTAGGCGCGAGCCACGCAAAGCCATAACTAGTTTGAAATTTCTGGGCCTTAACAATTTTGGGACCAATCTCTAGCACGATGAGTGAAATCGTTTAATACTAAATTTCGAAAGATTCTGAAATCTTGAAGCAAGTTATGACTTTGTACCTACTTGACCGCGCGCCTACTTGTGCCGTAACTACAAATCACATACATAAAAATCTATTTAGCACATAAATTCTAAATTATATCTTTCATTAACTTCATTCCCCATATTTCTTAAAAGAATTTGCCTAAAATTTAAAAAATCTTTTTCTTTTAAATAATTTCTAAAAAATTTTTACAAACGTTTTTTTCCTTCCAAAAGTTTCATTCATTATTTCCTTCAAAACAATAGAATTTCCAAAAATAAAATCTTTAAAAGGGTCGGGTTTAGCAACTTTAATTACTTCAAATAAATATCCTTTTCTCCATTTAAAAATAGTATCAGGTCTTCTTAAATAATTTTGATACTTAAAAATTATTTTAAAAATTTTTTAAAGCCAAAAAACCAAAAATCGAAAAGAAGCTTTTAATTTATTTTCATTTTCTTTTAATATTTTATCAAGTTTTTGGAAGAATTCATTTTCTTCAACAAGTTCATTTAATTCATTAAATCTATCCAAAGTACAAGTAAATGTTTCCAAAGCCTTTAAAATAAATAAATTTATTTTTAAAAATAAAATTTAAATAAATTATTTACATTTAAATCCTTCAAAAGTTTTAATGCATATTCACTATGCAAATAAAAAGATAGTGGATTACGAAATTCCAAGTTCTAAAAATTGAAAGAAAAATTGGAAAAATGTTGAAGTTTTTATTTTTAACCCCTTAATATATTCCAAAATAATGTACCCCAGAATGGTACCATAACTCAATGCTTCTATCTTGGGATATATAAAGGCTTCTGTCTATCGTAAATTGTTTAGGTATGTAGGGAATACCAGAATTTGGAGAGAGAGAAGGATAAAATTGGGGAAATGCCTCGCCGATATCTCCCCTATAGCTTCTTAATTTTTCATTTCCTCTATAAACTTCACCTAATCCCTGAATATAAATAAGTTCCTCGTTAGCTCCCTAAATCCTTTTAATCCCTCCATATCTTTTTTATATTGATCCTTAAAATATTTCATTATTGATATATTTATGATTTTAATAGTTTTAAATTGGAATAAAAAAATAGGGGAGGGGCAATTATTAGAGAGAGGGTAATTATTGTTCCGATCTCTCGCTCGGGGAGGGGGGATAATTAATAATTTTCTAATTTTAAAATCATAAAAATAAAAAAAAAGTTCTCAATTTAATTAAATTAAAACAGTACAACTTCACATTATTTCTTACCCTTAAAGGAGTAATTGAATTTAATTTAATAAGAAATTCAAAAATAAAATCATCAAATCTAGCATTTCCATTATCACATAATAACTTTAAAAAATTAATTTTTAATTCAAAAAAAAATCTTTCCAAAACTCTGTGAAAAGGCATTGCTTCATTTGCACAACTCCTCGAAATAATAATAATTTCTATTGAAAGAGAAGAAAGTTTTTTGAATGAATAAAGAGCTTCTAATTGTCGAGCATCTACTGGGCCCTCTAAACCATCAACATAATTTTCCCAACAAAAATCTAAATGTTCCAAATTTGGACAAGAAGAGGCTATTTTTAATAAATCTGTCTTGAAAGTAAAAATAAAAGATATTTTTTGAATTAAATTTAAATATACATTATTAAGAGGAGAATAATAATCAACTGCTAATGCACGTAGAAAATATAAATTTGGATGAAAATTTAAATATTTTTTGCTTATTGTGAAAGAGAAAGGTGAACATAAACTAAAAATTAAAATTAGGTATATTAAAATAAAATATGTACATATCAGGGGCCGTAGAATAAAAAGTTGGATAGGTAACGATGGCTAACCATTGTTAGGTAACCACAAGGTCATGGTTAACCTTACGACCGTCTTATGCTACCGGTAAAAACCGCTGGTTGATAGTTACCTAACCAGCAACCGATCTCTTATTCTAACGCCCCAGGGGTGTGCGAGTTTCGCTTTTTAAAATCACTTTCGGAACACCCACGATATGTACGTAATATGAAAAGTAGAATTTAAAAAATTGTCTTGTAAAAATTAAAATTTTTTTAAAATCCATTTTCCTTTTAAGAATTTTTATTTAGAAAATTTATTCAAGATTGTTTTTATTAGAAATCTTAAAAATTGTTTTTTGCCCTTTAATATTTTTATTTTTTTAGATTTAAAGATAATTTAATTTACAAAAATAACTTTTTACCTAAAAATTTTTGTGTCAGTTAATTCATCAGCATAATCGTTATATTGACTATAAAATAATAAAAACCAAAGTTTTGGACAAATTTTTAAAATTTCGTGTAAATTTTCAACTGAATAATCAAAAATAAATAATTGTTGTAATGTTGAGGGTAAAAACTGTTTTTGATTAATTTCTAAAGATCTCTCAAAAATTTTCTTTAAACGATTGATTCGGAGACATTCAAGTTTTTGACATTTTAAAATTAGCGACAAAAACGCATCGAGAGTTTTTTTCTGTTTTTAAGAGAATAAAAAAATTTTTGGAGTAAAATAATTTTTAGAAAATTTACTTTTTTATTAAGAACTAAACCCAACGATAAAAGATTAGGAGCTAAAAACTCCTCAATTTGATTTAAATGCCAAACATCAATCGGTTCCTCCATAGAAAAATGTTGAAGAGAAGGCGTCAAATAATGAAAATAACGGCCTAAACGTGTTGAAACTTTAATTCCTCTTTCAATACAAAGTAATTCTAAATATGGAGCAGACCGACGAATTAAAGCATTGAATATTCCTAACTAAATGAAAGAAAAAAATATTTAATGAAAGGAATAGATAAATTTATTTAAATATTTTATGGAAATTTTGAAAAATTTTTAATTTAATAATCATAGGGAAATATTCTTATTATTAGCTATCCAAATCAAAACCTATAGTTATGTGGATATACATACCAGGGTTGCCGCCCGAAACCCGATACCCAAAACCCGGCTTTTTTTGTACCCGAAACCCGTTACCCGAAATGAAAACGCTCCAACCCGATACCCGTACCCGAAGATTTTTTGTACCCGCGGCAACCCTGATACAAACACCCAATCTCTAGAAATTAAGACTTTGTACACTTTTTGCATTTAAACATTTTAAATTAAAAATTATTATTAGCCAGCCTAATTAACAAAAATTAATTGAAAACAAACAGTTCTTGAAGGCCGCCTTTTGTCCAATGAATTATCACAAAGAAATTTTTTATGTTCATCCAATTTTCGTGGTGTCCAAATAATTTCTTTAAAACTTAACCCTTCCATTTCTTTATCAATTAATTCTCTTGTATTTTTAAAATTTTTATATAAAAGTAAATCCTCGTAAACAAAAATTAAATTTTTACAATCCAACCAAGCAAAATTCCAACACAAATCTTTCCATTCTTTACATACACGTTCAATTTTTATTTTTTCATTAAAAGTCAGAAAATCAAAAATATATTTCTGAAAAAATAAATATTCTCAATTTATTTTTTAAAAATTAAACCAAAATTTCTGGAGGCAAATCTTGAAGTTGCATTTTTATATAAAAATAGAAAATTGGTTAATTTTGTTAAGGCTATAGTTAAAGAAATTAGTAATATTGTGAAATAAAAATTAGATATAATTTAATAAATAATAAATTATATTTTAAAAATATTTTATCAAGGTTATCTATGTTGAAACAGAAAAATATTTAAAAGATTAATTTTTAACATTTTTCAATTTAAGACGTTCCAAAATTGTTAATTCCCCTTTAACCCTTTAAGAGGCTTATGTTAATTTATCTCTAAATACAAGAGATTTTGTAGTGTGCAACAGAGGTTTAAAAAACTCAAAAAATTAAAAAAAAATTTTTATTTTAATGAAAAACACAAAAGAATCTCTTTTTTGGACTATACGTAGCTATTATCGATTCATTTGCTTAGTGACAGCACATTAGAGATCGGTCTGGATCTGGATCCAGTCTGGATTTTTTCTGGATCCAGAGTCAAGATCCAGGCATTTTTTGATCGTTCTGGATTTTTTCTGGATCTGGATTTTTCCTGGATCCAGATCCAGAATCTTGTCCAGGGTACTAACCCAAATCCAGAATCCAGATCAAGATCCAGACGATTTTTATGTCTGGATTTCCTGGATTAAATTTGACCAGAAAGTGACCATGCGGCTCCAAAAATGGCAGATATCTGACTTCTTTCCCTTTCAAATTTCAAAAATTTTCGCCTGCGGCGCTAAAAATGAAAGAAATTTGGCTAAATGTTCTTCCAGAAGGGTAAACTCCAAGGTAACGCAGACCAAGGTACTTGCTCTCTTACAAAATTTTCAAAATTTTATGGTGGATGGTGGATTTCTAGACCAAATTCCTCTACCTTTCGTCAATGATGCACGGATCAGTCCTCCTTTATACATATACCTCGGTTCAGTCTTAATGAGAGGATATAGAGGGATTAGAAGTGATTAAGAGGATTGAGGTAACTAACAGATAAAAATGGATTTGCGAGGATTAAAAAGGATATAAGAGGATTTGTGAGGTTTAAGAGAATATATGGAATTAAAAGGATTTTAAGGAGATATTGAGGGATTTTTAAGATTAATCGGGATATCGGTGGATTTGTGAGGATTAAGATGGATATCTTGAGATATATGGGGATAAAGAGGGATATCTGAAGATTTTGAGGGATATACGGGGATTTTAAGGGAATAAGAAGATATCGGTGGATTAATTAGGATATAAAGTGATTTGAAGTTATTAGGACTGTTATTGATGGTTTGGGCATTAGTATGTATATCAAGGGATTTGGGGGATTAAGTGAGCTATTGATAATTTCAGAAGAGTATCAGGGGATTTGGAGGGATATCTAATGATTAAGCCGGATATCTGTGGATTTAGAAGGATATAATTAGATTTAGAAAAAAATCCAGAAATCCAGGCTGGATCCAGACCAAAAAAATCCTGGATTTTTTCTGGATCTGGATTTTTCCTGGATCCAGATCCAGAATCCTGTCCAGGCTACTAACCTAAATCCAGATCCAGAATCCAGATCCAGGATTTTCAAAAATATCGATCTCTACAGCACATACATAACTGACTTTGTTGACAGACATGAGATAGCATTAAGAGGAGAAAGACCCATAAAGGATATTCAAGGCAGGATGACATTTACGGGCCGACATAAAATATCCTTTCCTTTGATTATTTTAATCGTTTTCTACATCTAAACAGATGCTTATGTACACTGATTTCGTTATCCGGATATATAGGGCGGAAACAGTCGGATATCCCAGGCACCTTGATTTTATCTGTATCCGTATCCATGAGCAGGTCTGCATCTAAATACCCTTTGTAGTATTATTTATTAATTTTAGTTTATTTAAATAATGAATGAAGTATGGAAATTTGTTAGTGTGCCAAATTGTGTTTTGACATCATTTGAGAATGAAGAAATTTAATATTGCAAATTTAAAAATAATTTTAAAAAGTATTCTTTGTTTGTTAAAATAATAGTTTTAAAAATAAAACGAAAATTATTTATCTTTTAAAATAATTTTTAATTTTAGAATTATTAAACAATTCAAAATATTTGAAATAATTTTATTTTATGTATCTCACAATTAAATTTAGAATAAATATTTATTTTATAATTAAATATCAATTATTTTCCACCAAACATCCCTCCATTGCCTGGCCACATTTGTCCCATTCCCATTTGTGGCATACCTCCACCAACACCTCCCCATCCTCCTCTAAATGACATTGGCATTCCTCCCCAGAAAGGACGACCCCAACCTGATAAAAATTTCAAATTATAGTTTCTATCTAAAATAATAAAGAGCCCTTCAGATTTTTAGCTTCTGTTTATTGAAAATAATTATACTTGGTTCTTGAAGGAAAAACTTTTCCAGTAAAAAGAATTTCAAAAAATCTTTAACAGATGGAAATCAGTGTGGTCACAACCAGCTACTGACCTTCGGTTTTTGACTAATCCAAATTACATAACCAGATTTTCGGTTTTGGTTTTTACTCAAATACATATTTATTTTGTAAAGAATATTTCTAACAACTTATTTTCAGAAATTAACGGTTTTCTATCTTAATTTCCCTCAAAATCACTTAATTTTTAACAATTTTCGATTTAAAAAACCGGTCATGACCACCTTATTCAAAATTTCTCCTTTTTTTACCTCCACCTCCACCACCACCCCATCCTCCTTCATTCATTTGCATTGGCCCACCCATTCCCCAAAACTGAGCGTTGATGTTTGTTCGATAAAATATTTGATAAAAAAGAAAAATTGAACGAAACGAATAAAATAAAGAAAAATTTATTATTTGCATTTGTATTTTTAAATAAATTTATTTACAAAATAATAATGAATACAGAAATAATATTATTCAAAATTTTGGTAGAAACAATTTAACAATAGAATGCCCAAAGACATTTAAGTGAATAAAACTCTTCAGAAATAAAAATAAATATCCAAACTTGTCTAAATATGCTTGAAGAAAGTAAAGATCCGTTTTGTATTTTTTTGTAAATTTTTAATAGTTTTTTTTTGGTACTTTTCCGTTAATCGACCGCAAACTGAGTAACAGCCGAATTTTAACAGCTTCAATTTTTTGATGCTTGATCCAATACAGATGAATTTTAAATCATTCGAAAGCCCTCGATAAGCTCTCTCTTATACCCAACTGTATGGATCAGGTCTGATCACTCATAAAAAAGTTTTTTAATAAGATTATTAGTATTCAAAAATTAAAAGAATATTTCCAGAATTTATCAAATGTCGAATAATTCAAAAACTGATTTTCTAAGCAATTAATTACTTAAATTTTAATAGTCTTTTTTTTATTTAAAAAATAATTTTTTTAGAAATATTAACGAAATATTTGTTCACTTTTTTGCATGTTTCTCTACATTTATTGATTATTTCCAGATGACTCTTTAAAATTAAATTTATCATTTACTATTAAAGGCATGCGCTTATTTCTTAAACTTTTTTTCATTTTTTCCAATTTCTTTTAAGTGATCTTTAATTCTAAAAAAGTATTTAAAATTAAATTATTTCCCTGCTTAAATTAATTTACAAATTTTAAATAATTTTTTTCTTTTATTTTTGTAAATTTATTTAAAAGAGTTTTATTTGTAAAGAAAATAAATTAAATATAAAATAAATAGCTTTTAAAATAAAAAAAGAAAAACACGTGACAGGCAGCTGCTTTTGACAAAAAATATTATTATTATTATTTTCTCAAACAAAAATTCTTCAATGCCATCGATTGCTTTTATGAAGTGACATTTTACTATTTTTTGTTTCTTTAAAAAAATATTTTACTTCAATTACTTTTTAAATTAAAAAAAAATATTTTTACCTCCAACTGATATATTCATTTCTGATTTTTATTAGAAAACCCTCCACCTAAATCAATAAACTAACAATAATCTACTTTGATCTTTTTACTTTTTACTCTCGTCTATACTCCTTTACAATTTATTTTTAGTGCAAATACTTCTCAATTTTATTCATCTCTCTATCAAATTTATCCAAAAGACCGAAACATTTTATTTAGTGATTTATTGAATTTTAATTAAAAAAAAATTTTTAGATCTTTTTGTTTAAAATATAATCGTTAATCCTCTCAATTCTTTCCCTTCCTTTTTACTCATTTCATATCGTCCACAAATTATTATCAGTTAAATCTATATATTAAAAAATCTCTACTTTTATTTTGATTAATAAATTAATTACTTTAATTTTTAATGATAAAACG